GGGACAGTTCGCCGTGGTGTACCACTGTCGACACAGGATCACGGGGGAGGAGTTCGCTGCCAAGTTTTCGTCCAGATGGCGTCTGGGCGCTGACTGTACCGCTGACATCCTGCACGAGGTGGCGGTCAGCGCCATCTTGAGGCCATCACAGCGAACCATACAGCTGCAAGACGTCTTTAGTACACAAACTGAACTTGTACTGGTCATGGAGTAGTGAGTACCCCTCCTCTTGTTGTTGTTGTTGTATTGTAGGATGTTGTTGTTGTATTGTAGTGCCACCTGGTGGTGGTCGTGGAGTAGTGAGTACTCCTCCTATTGTATTGTGTGGTGCCCTAAGGTTCCACAGCCTCGCTGGTAATAATAATAATGTGACCCAAACTCAATAAGACCACCTGGCCTACAATACGTGTCTAACGGTATATAAACACTCACTAAAAGTAACCAGTTTACTGGACATATCAAATATGGCTCCGGAACACAACAAGTCTAAGTTCTCTACAACTGATATTATTTCACAGTAACTAACTTTACTTAAAACTCTTCGGAATTATCATGATACAGTGTACTGCACACTCTCTGAACTAGCTCTCACTAGGCTCTATCCTAGTGCAGTGGTCCACTAGCTCTCACTAGGCTCTATCCTAGTGCAGTGGTCCACTAGCTCTCACTAGGCTCTATCCTAGTGCAGTGGTCTACTAGCTCTCACTAGGCTCTATCCTAGTACAGTGGTCCACTAGCTCTCACTAGGCTCTATCCTAGTGCAGTGGTCCACTAGCTCTCACTAGGCTCTATCCTAGTACAGTGGTCCACTAGCTCTCACTAGGCTCTATCCTAGTGCAGTGGTCTACTAGCTCTCACTAGGCTCTATCCTAGTGCAGTGGTCCACTAGCTCTCACTAGGCTCTATCCTAGTGCAGTGGTCCACTAGCTCTCACTAGGCTCTATCGTAGTACAGTGGTCCACTAGCTCTATCCTAGTGCAGTGGTCCACTAGCTCTCACTAGGCTCTATCCTAGTACAGTGGTCCACTAGCTCTCACTAGGCTCTATCCTAATACAGTGGTCCACTAGCTCTCACTAGGCTCTATCCTAGTACAGTGGTCCACTAGCTCTCACTAGGCTCTATCCTAGTACAGTAGTCCACTAGCTCTCACTAGGCTCTATACTAGTAACGTGGTCCACTAGCTCTATCCTAGTACAGTGGTCCACTAGCTCTATCCTAGTACAGTGGTCCACTAGCTCTATCCTAGTACAGTGGTCCACTAGCTCTATCCTAGTACAGTGGTCCACTAGCTCTATCCTAGTACAGTGGTCCACTAGCTCTATCCTAGTACAGTGGTCCACTAGCTCTATCCTAGTACAGTGGTCCACTAGCTCTATCCTAGTACAGTGGTCCACTAGCTCTATCCTAGTACAGTGGTCCACTAGCTCTATCCTAGTACAGTGGTCCACTAGCTCTATCCTAGTACAGTGGTCCACTAACTCTATCCTAGTACAGTGGTCCACTAGCTCTATCCTAGTACAGTGGTCTACTAGCTCTATCCTAGTACAGTGGTCCACTAGCTCTATCCTAGTGCAGTGGTCCACTAGCTCTATCCTAGTACAGTGGTCCACTAGCTCTATCCTAGTACAGTGGTCCACTAGCTCTATCCTAGTGCAGTGGTCCACTAGCTCTATCCTAATACAGTGGTCCACTAGCTCTATCCTAGTACAGTAGTCCACTAGCTCTATCCTAGTACAGTGGTCCACTAGCTCTATCCTAGTACAGTGGTCCACTAGCTCTATCCTAGTACAGTGGTCCACTAGCTCTATCCTAGTACAGTGGTCCACTAGCTCTATCCTAGTACAGTGGTCCACTAGCTCTATCCTAGTGCAGTGGTCCACTAGCTCTATCCTAGTACAGTGGTCCACTAGCTCTATCCTAGTTGAGCCGCTACACATCAGTAGACTGAGCCGCTGCACATCAGTAGACTGAGCCGCTACACATCAGTAGAGTGAGCCGCTACACATCAGTAGAGTGAGCCGCTACACATCAGTAGACTGAACCGCTACACATCAGTAGACTGAGCCGCTGCACATCAGTAGACTGAGCCGCTACACATCAGTAGACTGAGCCGCTACACATCAGTAGACTGAGCCGCTACACAGTAGACTGAGCCGCTACACAACAGTAGACTGAGCCGCTACACATCAGTAGACTGAGCCGCTACACATCAGTAGTCTGAGCCGCTGCACATCAGTAGACTGAGCCGCTACACATCAGTAGACTGAGCCGCTACACATCAGTAGACTGAGCCGCTACATATCAGTAGACTGAGCCGCTACACATCAGTAGACTGAGCCGCTGAATATCAGTAGACTGAGGTGCTACACATCAGTAGACTGAGCCGCTGCACATCAGTAGACTGAGCCGCTACACATCAGTAGACTGAGCCGCTGCACATCAGTAGACTGAGCCGCTACACATCAGTAGACTGAGCCGCTACACATCAGTAGACTGAGCCGCTACACATCAGTAGTCTGAGCCGCTGCACATCAGTAGACTGAGCCGCTACACATCAGTAGACTGAGCCGCTGCACATCAGTAGACTGAGCCGCTACACATCAGTAGACTGAGCCGCTGAACATCAGTAGACTGAGGTGCTACACATCAGTAGACTGAGCCGCTGCACATCAGTAGACTGAGCCGCTACACATCAGTAGACTGAGCCGCTGCACATCAGTAGACTGAGCCGCTGCACATCAGTAGACTGAGCCGCTACACATCAGTAGACTGAGCCGCTGAACATCAGTAGACTGAGCCGCTACACATCAGTAGACTGAGCCGCTACACATCAGTAGACTGAGCCGCTACACATCAGTAGACTGAGCCGCTACACATCAGTAGACTGAGCCGCTACACATCAGTAGACTGAGCCGCTACACATCAGTAGACTGAGCCGCTGCACATCAGTAGACTGAGCCGCTACACATCAGTAGACTGAGCCGCTACACATCAGTAGAGTGAGCCGCTACACATCAGTAGACTGAGCCGCTACACATCAGTAGACTGAGCCGCTACACATCAGTAGACTGAGCCGCTACACATCAGTAGACTGAGCCGCTGCACATCAGTAGACTGAGCCGCTACACATCAGTAGACTGAGCCGCTACACATCAGTAGACTGAGCCGCTACACATCAGTAGACTGAGCCGCTACACATCAGTAGACTGAGCCGCTACACACCAGTAGACTGAGCCGCTACACATCAGTAGGCTGAGCCGCTACACATCAGTAGACTGAGCCCCTACACACCAGTAGACTGAGCCGCTACACATCAGTAGATTGAGCCGCTGCACATCAGTAGACTGAGCCGCTGCACATCAGTAGACTGAGCTGCTACACATCAGTAGACTGAGCCGCTACACATCAGTAGACTGAGCCGCTACACATCAGTAGACTGAGCCGCTGAACATCAGTAGACTGAGCCGCTACACATCAGTAGACTGAGCCGCTACACATCAGTAGACTGAGCCGCTACACATCAGTAGACTGAGCCGCTACACATCAGTAGACTGAGCCGCTACACAACAGTAGACTGAGTCGCTACACATCAGTAGACTGAGCCGCTACACATCAGTAGACTGAGCCGCTGCACATCAGTAGACTGAGCCGCTGAACATCAGTAGACTGAGCCGCTACACATCAGTAGACTGAGCCGCTGCACATCAGTAGACTGAGCCGCTACACATCAGTAGACTGAGCCGCTACACATCAGTAGACTGAGCCGCTGAACATCAGTAGACTGAGCCGCTACACATCAGTAGACTGAGCCGCTACACAACAGTAGACTGAGCCGCTACACATCAGTAGACTGAGCCGCTACACAATAGTAGACTGAGCCGCTACACATCAGTAGACTGAGCCGCTACACATCAGTAGACTGAGCCGCTACACATCAGGTGACTGAGCCGCTACACATCAGTAGACTGAGCCGCTACACATCAGTAGACTGAGCCGCTACACATCAGTAGACTGAGCCGCTGCACATCAGTAGACTGAGCCGCTACACATCAGTAGACTGAGCCGCTACACATCAGTAGACTGAGCCGCTGCACATCAGTAGACTGAGCCGCTACACATCAGTAGACTGAGCCGCTACACAACAGTAGACTGAGCCGCTACACATCAGTAGACTGAGGTGCTACACATCAGTAGACTGAGCCGCTACACACCAGTAGACTGAGCCGCTACACATCAGTAGACTGAGCCGCTACACACCAGTAGACTGAGCCGCTACACATCAGTAGACTGAGCCGCTACACATCAGTAGACTGAGCCGCTACACATCAGTAGACTGAGCCGCTGCACATCAATAAAGGTACATATTATATGTTACAGGGTCATTAGACCCTACAAAAGCCACACAGATGGGAGCACGACGCAGCGTGACCTCTCGTCAGCAGCGCCAAGCGGGCACTGAGCTCCCAGGAGGCGGGAGAGCCCCGAGAGACACTGTAGCCAACTCTGCAAGATGGCCGTCACTACTCTTTCAAATATCTCTATCTCAGAACACGTCATTTACAAGCAATACATCCTTAAACATACTTATAAATAATACAATATGGTACAATACATTCCCCAAGAAAGTAACTAAGCATTATATCACACAAAGGAGATAATATATTTATATATACAAAGAGTCAACAAGGAGTTCATATCTACGAGACTTGGCAACACTGACTGGACCAGTACGCGGGGGGGGGGGGAGGGGGTGAAAGAACATTCTAGAACTTTACCGTCAACTCTAATACATCATTATACATTAATACAAGTATTATATATACAACCTAGCACCAAACCTGCCTATTGGTGTATGTTCTCACAAAACAGTAAGTCAAGTACTAAGTATGATTAATACAAAGTGACAATTGGCTAACTCATTTCCCCAGCTTGGAAATAGATGTATCATAATACATTCGTATTACTGGCATAATACATCAAGCATATACATGTATACATGGTGCATAACAACATATAAAGTCGGTACATAGAATTTAAGAATGTATACATGTAATCATATGTTTAAGAGGCAGCAGGCTAGGCTACACTGCCGTATGTATACTAAGGTATGATACCATCATACACCAGTCATACTTGGTGTATGTGGGGTCATAACATAGTGCCACCTGGTGCTGTAGTGAGTACCCTCCTGTTGTTGTTGTATTGTAGGCTG